TGGAGGAGCTTTCTCCTCCATTGGGATTCCTGTAGCACAATTCCCGGCACAGCTCAGCAGAAAAGTTGGCTAAAGTCAATTTTGTTTTAAACACCGGAGATAAGATAAAATTTTATAGCATCTGCAATGGATGTCCAGTAAAAATATTTGTGATGTTATTTTACTTGGTATTAGATATCAGTGACCAACAGCTGTTTTCCAAATACTGAGTTTGGTATATAGCAGGTACTAGTCTTTTTTACCAGCTGTTAGTAATCGGCTGCTCCTTAGGGCTGCCACGCATCTGGGTATTTCAGACCCTTTTCAGTCCTTCCCCTGCCTGCCACATGCTGTCTGGGCAGGCTGTCTGGGCAGGCATTTAGGCCGTTGCTTGGGCAGGTGGATGCTGATAGCCATGTCAGGTTGCCATTCCCCCTCCTACCCTCACACATGTCTGCAGCCTGTGTTTTCCTTCTTCTTGGATCAGCCTGCATATTTTCAGATTAAAACTTGCTTTTTGCTCCCAGTTCTGGAACCTGTAGGTCCTCCCATTTCTTGTGGGTAGTCTTCAGAAGAAAATGCCAGCTCGCAGGCCAGATTCATGGAGGAGTGCAGGACACGGGGCAAGGGTCTCTCAAAAAGCTTTTCTCAAAGAGCTGCCTGGTCTGAGAAAACAGGGCCTATGGTGCTGATGATCTGATCTACTTGCCCGTTTCTCATTTCTTAACCAACAGCAACCTGGGTTTGATTTGTTCGGCTAAAAGTTGAGGTGCGCTGTAGCCCCCGGTCTGCCTGCAGCCTGCCTGACCTGCCAACAAGTTCAAAATCACCAAGGGTTGAACAAAATATTACGGACTCTGCTATCTTTGGGAGGTGTCCAGCACTGACTCTGTGTGCAGGAGCCAGGTTCCATCTCAATGTCTCTCTTTTCCTCTAGGTCTAGAAGAAAAAACAATTCTTTCCAAAAAAGAAAAAATGAAGCTGAGGAAAGAAAGATGGCTACAGAGTAAGTACTCCTCTGAAACACAGCGGTACTGTGGGCATCACAGAGCGTGGCTCAGTTGGATCTCTCTGAACATGGGGTGTGGGTGGCAGTGCTGGGCAGTGCCGGGGGGAGGCTGAATGCTTCTCAGAAACTTTCACATCTGCTCACCAGCACGTGGAATAAAAGTGCCAGGTGTTGCGTCTCAGTGTTTAGCACTAAGATTGAGTCATTGCCCCAAAACTACTTTTGATCTTCCTCCACGTGTAATATAAGCGACTATGTAAAACCTTTATTTGTCCAGATAGGACACTGTTCCCATTAGGTTTAGCATGTTTCTCTATCATCTTTTAAAGCTCTGGTACAGATATGACCAGCTGTATAGTGGAGCTCCTCCTCCCTGAGGAGCTGTGGGGACAGTAGGACAGCCTGGAGCTGAGCCCCACGCGGCCACCAGCTAATCCCAAGGATCTGTGGTGAAAGCCTGCAGTAGGCCCTCCTGCCCTTCAGTAAGGGAGGTCTCTGGACGCTGCTGGTTGTGTTACTGCTCTTTCCCATGTGCCACAGGTCAGTGAACCCACTTATCAGACAGTCTGGCCTTTCCTGAGGCTGTGAAATACGAGCTAAACAAAACCAGACCATGGCAGAAATGCTTCTGTTTTCTGTGTGGGAAGTGTCTGTATTTTTGCTTCGACTATCTCAGCACAGTAAGAGATGCTGTGCTACCCAGTGTAGCAGAGGGATTCCTCTTGCCACCTGGAGCTGTTCTTGGGACAGGCATTTCCCTTAACTCCTTCCTGCCCAACAGAGTTGCTGACAGACTGTGTTTGGGGCTGAGGGATGTGGCTTTCTGCCGCAGCATATGCTCTCGGCTCCTGAGCTCTGAGCTCAAGTCCATCAACCTGTGATTTCACCAGTCGCAGTGAAGGTGTCTCTGGCTCCTCTTACATAAAAAGCTAATAATTTAACACCATGAGTGTGAAGGAAACCTCCTCCCTATCACCAACCAAAACTTCCAAGTGCCTTTGACATCTGCAACCCTCGGTGTCCCTGTTGGGCACAAAGCATAGACGGTTGTGCTAGTCCTAACATCTGGCCTGCTGGCTGCACTTTTAGTGCTCCTAAAGGTCTCTCCTTGTCTGATACTCTTGTGGGAACAGAGGAGGGGACCCCTGGAGCACAGCTGAGCTTTCCCTCCCCTGATACCTGGACTGGTACCAGGTGCTGTGGAGGAAGGCATGTCCTCAGCAGCATTTTATGACAGAATCCACAGTAAAAGGGGTACATGGGACTCTTGTCTTCTGCAAGAAACAGAGGGCATGCTCCTGCAGTGAGGTGACAGCACTGCTCCCATAGTCAAGGTCAGCCACTTTGGAAAAGCCCAGGAGCAGGATCCCTACACTCTCTTAATCCTGCCCTCCTGCATATATGCCTTCGTAGCATCAGTCTTTCTCAAGATCATATATGTTATTTTGGCCCTGCTCGTCCTGGAGTGGCCTCTTTCCTCCTCTCTTGGCTCTGAAATTACTAAGCTGAGGGAATACAAATGAAATGCAGAGGCTTTGCTTGGAGGAGAACACCAAGATAGAAAACTTCAGGCCAAATTATCTCTGTCTTAGAAGATACTAGGTATTAGAAGTGCTTTACAGATACGGAAGTACCTAAATTGCTGGCTCTCTTGACTCTTCCACTAAACTTGTGGCCAGTTGGCAAATCCAGCATTCCCTAGCAAATGCTTTGCTAAGGGTAGCAAGTACCCGGGGATTTCTGTAAGAAAAGTCAGCAAGTGTTAGTACCAGGTGTGCAGTTTGTAACTGAGAAAAATGGAATAGCTGGAAAGAGCCTGTATAAACATCAATAAAGGAAATGATATTATTATTATTACCTGATGGAGCAAAATGAACTGGTATTTCCAGAGATGGAGATTTTTAAATGAAACTTGGCATTCTAACATTGTGACCTGAAAGAGCTGCAGTCAACTGAAACGCATTGATTTTTATCTGATGCAGATAACTGCCAATTCTTTGTGGGTTTTGCAGTCTTTGCCCCCCAAAAGAGAACCCAACTTGGACTGCTGAAGTTGTTATCATTACATCTCTGTTTTCCTAAATCTTCCCAAGAGTTTGTGTTTCTTCTTGTCCCAGGGCTGCTTTTGTGACACTGGATGCCAAGACCCTGGGAACTAAAGTTCAGCCCAGTAGTGCAAACGCAAAACTTTGAGATTTCTTCCATTCCAATAAATCATCTCAGGAGAGACTAGAGAGGGAAAAAAATTATGTAATGCTTCAGTCATTAGAAGTATGCACATTTAAAAATACATATATCGCATGGCTCCTCAGACGAACAAGACTTCATAGGAAAAGAATTTGGGATGTTTGTGCAGAATCAGGTGTCTGAAAATTTTGAGCACATACTGTTTATGAAAGCATTGAAGTAGTCAGCTTCATAAAGCCAGACCAAAAAAAGAAGTGATGCAGAACAGAAAGCTGTGTTCTTGGCAGAGATTGCTGTGAGGAGAAGCGTTTACGATCCAGATTTGTCACAAACATCCATGTACAGCAAAATTGCAGTTCATGAAAAACTGTTGCTCTTCAACTCAGCTGAGTTGGGGAGCAGACAAGACAAAGATATTGAAGGAGCCAGCAGCTAGCCAGTGAATTTGAGTTCTGCTTTCTTGAATGTGGGTGGCAGGATTAGACCCAGAATTGCAGGTGGCATCCTGTCTGCGGTCTGTAGAATGGCTTGCTGCTTTTGTGTTCCCACCAAAAATACTTGTGTTGATTAGTCCTGCTTCTGTGGCCATGCTGCCGTTGGAAGCTGTTGGCCTCCCTGTGTCGCCAGCTTGGCCCCATGGCTGCTGGCACTGTGCTCCGTCATGTCCAGACAAGGAGTTTCTAGCTTAGTGCTGAGGCTTGTCCTTGCAATACACTTATCATCCAAGGCAATAAGCAGAAGCCTGCTTTTCCACTGTGGCCTCTGCTGGGTGCACATGGAGGAGGTGGAGTCCACCATCATGTACCGTGCAGCACTGGTACCCCTCGCGGGTGTCACGACAATGCAGTGGGTTTCCAGGCCTGGTGATCACCTGACAGAAGGAAAAGGAGCTCCTGGATCCCACTGAGCTCTAGCTGTTTCTGGTGGCATCATCAAGGGACTTCTGGGACAGGTTGGGGCATCTTGGAGCTCAACTGGAGGCTTGTAGCAGTGCTGGGCTTTTGTGGGCTGTCCTGGAGGAGAATATGTTCTGCTGGGGCTCACCCTGGAGGCTGCTGGTTCTGTAAGGCTTTGGCAGCTGCAGGACCTATTTCTACACCAGGGAGCCTCGAGGATTGAGGCAGAAGCCTGTGGCTTTCAATGCCCACCTCCCATGGCTGAGAAGGGAGACTGCTGTAACATTTGTAGAGCCTTATGTGCCCACAGCCTTGCTCAGAGCTGCTGCAGGGAGACTGGTAAACATGGTCTCAAGGAAAAGCCAGCTGCCTCTGTGTCTGCCACTTGGTGCAGTGCTTTTCTAAGGGCCCAGTTTATCCAGCATCTGACTGCTTGAGCTCTACCATGAGTCCTGAAGGTGAGACCTTGACTTGCTCCAAACTAAGTAAACGACTGAAATTAAGTCCATCTTTTCTGCCTGTGCTAGGAGACCATTGTTCTCTCCCAACAGAAAAGCAGAGATGGGGCTGTGACTGTTTAATGCCACATGTGGAGCTGACTGTATTTGGTTTGTCCCTTCCCCTCTTATTTCTCTCTCCTAACTACATGCAAGGTCAGCATGTTTTTTTCCACCCCAGGACTCCCGTGCCGTGTTGCTGTGAGCAATGAACAGTGCAAGGGATGGAAACAGTTCAGACAAAATCAGTCTGGGGATTTCACTTCCCATTGCAAATGTCAGTAGAGATGTATATAGTTATAAGCAAACACAGCAAGGGAGGGAACTACCCAGCTGCACTATTTTCAGTCTTTCCCTGGTTTAAATCACTTCTGGCCTGTTGTTCCTGTAGATGGTGAAGCAGCCTATGGATTTCTTAGCTCAAGGGTTATCTCTTGCAAACGCTTCCTCTTCCGCCAGTAATGTCCTGTTTCTGATTCAGAAATAGAAAGTGTGAAGCTAGCCACGCAGAAGCAAAAAGCTGAAGCAAAGCGGAAAGCAACACCTGTGGTGGGAGACATGCAGCCGTTGATGGAAGCCCTACCTGAGCTCTCTGACCTGACCACAGGTGGCAGGGGCAGGAAGCCATCCAAGAGGTATGTGCCATTTAGGGATGGGCTGTGTATTTCCCTTCTTCCTGCAGGATGGAGTGCCCTTCAGCTCAGCTTTTAGCTACAGACAATGCAAGCTCAGTGCCAATAGTCAGCAGAACAGGGCCTCATTCTCAACTCCATTTCACGCCTTTCCACGCTTCACTCGCTGCAAGAAAAAAGCTTAAATGTGTCTTCTGAATCCACAGCTAAGAGGGGAACTGTACTGCTCAGATGAGGCTTAGCATGAGACAGGCTGGGAGCAACCACATGTCCTGGGAGTTGCAGGAGTGACACACAAGTCTCTAGAGTGTAATGCTGCTGAGCTCACCTGAGAATCGACTTGAGGTGTTGCGTCCTGCCGTTCTGTCCTTCCAGACCTCCAGGCTTTCTCCTGAGGCAGTTCAAGCCCTTTGAGCAGAGCTTTACGCTCTGGCCAGACTCCTTGTTCACCCCGTTGGCTTTCTGTTCTTGGACAAGAACAGAAAGATGGTGTTTCCATTCCCTTTATTGTACTGAAAGAGAAGGGCTATTTCTGATCCTCTGACACCCACGTGTCAGCTGTCCCAGACAGCCATAGGGTGGGTTCTGGTTGCCCTTACGTTTTCCCCTTTTTAATGCAGTGCTCTGCCTGACCATCCGGTCAGTGTTGCAGCTGCTTTCGCATCCCCCAGTGCAGAATAAAAGTGCTCTGCGTGCTGCATAAACGCTTGTCTCTCCTCTCCAGTTGCTCGGTAGGGGTTGGAACTAGAAACTTGTTTTGACCATAATAAGAAAGCATTTGGATTAGAGAACAGCCAAGAAGGCGGCTGTCTGGCAAAGCACCCTCTTCTTTGGTTGCAGATCAAGGCTGGAGATACCATGAACCCTCTTGTGACTTGCTGGATGCCCCAGAAATAAACTCTGACCCAGGTGGGACACGCACCTACAGAACTTGGCTGAGTTGGCAGTTCGCTGTGCTTCTGGAAAGCCACTCCTCAGACAAACAGCAGCTATGAACCTTGCATCTAAGCATGGGAAAATATTTTCTTCCTTAACTTGGCTTCTAATTCTTTGAATAGCATTTTTTTTTTCCTTTATGCAGCCATTCAGTCAGCCTGGGCAGTTCATTCTTTCAGTGGGAATGAACAGCAAAAGAACATGCAGAGTTTCAAGTCTTGCAGAGCACTGAGGGTTGATTGGATGGAGTTCTGGGCCAGGGCTTAGCCTGAATAGGTGGCTTTGCCCTCTTTCTGTGATGATGTGCCACAACCACATGTGGCATCTGACTCCAGGTTGTGTTCAGGGGTCATTCCCCCTCATCATTTTCCCCCAGCCCCCTTGGTGGCTGAGCCCGTGTTATCCAGGAGAGTGGCTTGCAGGAAGTACGTATAGGGGAGGGAGGACAGGTAGGGTGCTTCCTTTGGGGACTGCTTTCCCAGGTGCTGCATAATCTAGTACCAATACACGGTGTCGCTGCAGCCTGCAATTCTGGACCAGCTCAAAAGATAGAGTAGAACTGGAAAAGGCTCAGGGACAGCTGACAAGGATGACGGTGGAGGATCTGGCACAGCTTCTGCGCAAGGGGTGACTAAGTGAGCCAGGGAGTCCTCAGCCTGGACCGGAGATGGAGGCGAAGAGGCTTGGGAATGTAATAGTCTATAAAATCAAGTGTGATGTGGTTAGGAAGTAGTTCATCTACTTTTCCAGTATGAGAAGTAAAGGACATCAAACATAGCTAGTGAGTAGGCAGTTCAGTGCAAGCAGGAGGCTCACTGCTCTGCACAGCTCCTTGCTGCAGGATATCATGGCTGAGGGAAGCCTGTGGGTTCAGGTGAGACCTGACAAATCCAATGAGGAGAGCTCCATGGAGGGTTACTGCATGTATATAAACTGCAGCTGGCACTAGGTCTCTGAGCTGCAAATACTGGAGAGGATGTGGCTATATGCTTGCCTTGGTCTTATCCCTCTCTGGCCATCTGCTGCAGGCAGCTTCAAGGCAGAACACTGGCCAAAATGGTCCTTCCAGCTACTGCAATCGCTCTTCTCTTCTGTAGTACACTTCATGGCAGAGGATGTGTGGCACACGTGGAAGCGTTCGGTGGTCTTGCATGAATCTCCAGCCTGACATCCTCAGAGAAGCGCCATCAGCTCCTTCTCTCTCCAAACCCAGACCTGCTGTGGGAGTGTGGCAGCCCTTCTCTCCTTTTGGAAGCCTGTGCTCATACTCTGGCTCTGTTTTCACTTTGGCTGCAAGGCTCTGGTGTCTAGAAAGCCCAGTGGGCCTGTGGCACAGCAGGGTAGAGAAGCCCAGCCCTGGCTGAGAATTTCGGGATTGGCCAGCACTATCTGCAGTCAGCTCAGCGGAGGTGGGAGCTTGGCATTGACTGATGTCACCCAGATTGCCTGTGACATGCCAACCAAAAAGCAGTCCCCCTTGGTACTGGCATGGAGGAGCTACAGTGCTCTTCCCCTTGCTGGCTTGTGGCTTCCTGGACTGCATGAGGATGTGTGTGCATAAGTGTTTGAAATAATCAGAGGCAGCTTTTGTAGGATTTGAATCATTACATAAATGAAGGGTAATACTCTGGTGATTTGTCAGCATTATTAATAAAAGATTAGATTCTCCAGGAATTTGATCTCCTGCTGGGTAAGAGAGCATTACAGTGAGGTTTTTCTGTTTTATAATGAATGAAGGCAATGAAGAGTAATGAAACAGGGTTACTAACACGGTCCAAGTGAGCAGGCAGTGTGCTGGTGGTTTGGTGGGGGAAATTCAGGCAGCAGCCCTTCAAACCTGCCAAACCAGTGGGGCAGAGCTGTTGAGTGGAACTGAAAAGCCTTCAGAAGCATCAAGCCCTTTAAAATAGTGGGGTGGCTGACAGGAAAAGTGGGCTTGCACAGCCTGAAGCAGACCCACGCCCTCGTGGTGTGCTGCAGAGGAAGCTGTCCCACGAGGCACAGCCTCTGGGGCACGTGGTCTTGTATGGCCCGGGATGCACTCTAGAGAGGCTTTCCTTTAAGCATTGTAACCCTCTGTAGAGCTACTCATCTTTGAAGGGACTGCCATGGTGTCTTGGTGGCACACTTGGCAAGCCCCTGCTCTGGTGACCTGGGTTGCCATCCAACTTGAGAAGGGATTTCTCTGTGCTTCTGTGAGTGATCCAGGCAAACTGGGACAAGAAATTGCTCCTGTGCTGAGCAGTTAACAGACATGAAGAGAGCAGAGATGCTTCCTGCTCTTTCTGTGTCTCGCAGTACCAGTGGACACAGCAGTGTGACGGGAGCTGCTCGAACCCCTGTAGCTGTTTGTCTGCTCTTGCTGATCGCCATTCCTCGTGAGCTCTCAGGCCTGTTTTGTAACACCAGCAGTGCCAGGGTGACCTCGAGAGGGACTGAAGGGTACAGGAGCAGTGCGCAGGCATTGATCTGCCTGGCTACCCTTTCCTGCACAGGCTCTGTGCTGCGAAGGCTGGCTGATAAACATCCACGCTGTTTGGGTTTGTCTGGGTTGGCAGGGAGCTTTGATGCTGGGGCACACTGTGCTGGGCTGAGGGTAAATCAAATGTGATTGGGGCAGTGGTGAGAGCAGGCCTCAGCAGCTTGGGTCCACCAGGATCCCCCTTGAGGGAAAATAAAATGGGCCAGGATGGAGAGAAGGAGAGATGAGGAAGAGGAGCAAGAGCTGATCGAGTAGAGAGGGATGATGAAAGTGAGTGGGGTGAAGGAATATGGGGCAAGGGAGGAGGAGGAAAGGAAGAATGGGGAAAAAAATGCAGAATAAAAGGATGGAGGGTAGCGGGTCAGAGAGGTAAATAGGAAGAGGAGGTCACTGTAACACTGCCAACAAGAGACCAGATCCTGCTATCTTGAAGAGAAGGTGAGGGACTGTCATGTTTCCTAACCTTGAGAAAGCTGAAGGGCTCTGGGGCAGATCAGGTGGGGGAGGTCCTGGCCCCCAGCACCCACCAGTAAGGTAAGATTCCTCCTTGAGCCATGCCCCAACAGAGGGGTGGGAGGCAGACCCTCTTCCCCCTTGGGCTGTGTGCTGGGCCTCAGCCCCAGGGTGAATCAGAGGGGAGCTGCTCTGTGGAGGCAGACTCTCTTCCCCGCTTGCTTCTCCTGTTTACCTCTGTATCTGTGTAACCCTGAAGAATGGAAGTTTCTTCTCCTTTCCTTAATGTCCAGTTCTACCAGCAACTCCCCTTGTGCACTTCAAGTCTCAAAAGCAGTCGCTGCCCTTCCTGCGTGTTCCCTTGCTTGGGCTCAGTGCTTGGCTTTGTGGTAAATCTCTGCCGCTGCTTGGCATCAGGCACCACGTGCTTCCAGCATGCTGTGCAGGATGGTATTACACCTCTGGTCTCCTTGGACTTTGCCCAGGAATAAGAAATGGGTGCAGAGAGTGCAGATCTGTGCTTGCTGCTGTGCCTCAGCTGCACATAGTGCACCATCCTGCATTCCCATGGGTCCATCTTCTTGCAACTTCATGGGTTCTCAAAACCTATGTTTGGTGGCAAAAGCTGAAGCTCTGTTGTTGTGCTTTCTCTTTAGCTAATCTGTTCACAGCTGACTTAAGCTGGCAAGCCTTTGACAAGGATGTGTTCACAGGGAGAAAGGAATATAGCCATTCTTTATCTTAAAATATAAATTACACCTTACACCCCAGTGGTCCCACCACAGGACTTGAAGCAGGGCTGGCAGTTCCCTCTTCTTGCTGAGTAACCGTGGCACTGTCTATAACTGATGTCTGCCGATGCTGGAGCTTGGCAGCATTAGCAAGGAACATGAGATGTGTAGAGGTGATGTGTACCTGGTGGTGAGGGGAAGTTCAATGGGATCTTTTCTCTAAGCAACAGTATCGGTTTGACCTGGAGGTTAGCGATAAGCAGAAAGTGATCTGGGCATGGACAGCTCATGCCCAGTTCTAGAATTAAGTGATCTGATTTTTCTTTAGTGCGTTTACCTCCTGCCCATTTAATCCTGACTCCTGAGCTGTTGTCAGTGTGTGGCGGAAGGAGTTTGCATCTCCATTACTGTCTGGCTATGGAAATAATTGCCTTTCAGGACGATTTCCATACAGGACAACTACCCATACTTTCTGGGAAGGCAGATGCAGAATCCCTGGACTCTTTCCATCTCCACAGCAATTGCTAAATTACTGCTCCTCTATAACACTCTCTCACTTTTTTTGTTTCTTCTCTCCACAGCCATGTAAAAGCAAAGGCAGAGCCAGCAGACTTCTGTCTGATGAAACAAGCTCAGAAACGCCGGCTCTTGTAAGTATCCAGTTATCGGTGCGTCCAGTCCCTGCTGAGCGTTACAGAATGGTTGAGACTGGAAGGGACCTCTGGAAGTCAGCTGGTCCAACCCCCCTGCTCAAGCAGGGTCACCTAGAGCTGGTTGCCCAGGACCATGTCCAAACAGCTTTTGAATATCTCCAAGGATGGACATCTCACAACCTCTCTAGGAAACTGGTTCCAGTGTTTCAGTCTTGCTCACCTGAAGGCCCTAGAAGAGGTCGCAGCTTTGATTTTCCTCTTTACATAGCGCAGGATGTTTGTGGGTGTCCTGTCTTTGTCCCTACCAGACTCAGTCAATTCTAAATGGATTCAGTCTGCGTCCGCTTCTGTCTCATTTAACATCTAAGCAAAGAGAGCACAGGAAACTGCACTTGCTCCTTTAAGAGTTCACTTTCCCTGTCTCATTGAAAAGAAAGTGATGGCTTGGGCCTCCTGTTTCAGGACAAACCCACATCAACTGTCATCTTTTTCCTCCTGGCCACAGTTGTGACTTCTGGCTGTACCAAGTGAGTATGTCTGTACTGTGTCTCTCTGTGCAGCATGGACAATGTGGTTATCAACCAGGTGGTGCGTCCTTTGTCTCGGCTTGCTGAGTTGGAGCAACATCCAGCTGTGGCTCAGTCTTTTATGACACCAGGCCCATGTAGCTCTAGCTGATACCCTTCAGGAAAGCCTCCTGTGGTTGTGTAGGTGAGGAGCTCCTGGAACTCTGCGTAGCATCAGGAGCTACAGCTGTTCTGTTGGAACACCTCTGGGATGCTAACTTACATGCCATACATCCCTTACGAGGACAGCTGTCCATTGGCATCTGCCAAACCTTTTCTTGTAAAATGAAGCACTAAATGCTTTTGAATAATTCCTGGACTTGGTTAAGGGTCTGGCAACTCCTTATTCCTCTGTATAATCTGTTGGATATTTTATACTGCCACCAGGCATCAAGAACTTAATTTCCCGTCAGCACAGCTCTCCTGGGGCTAGGCACTATGATCTGGCAGTGTTTGCTTTCTGTGATCCCTGTTTCCAGGATTTCTGTCAGTTCTGAGCCATTCAACTTCAAACTCAGGCTGAGGAGAACACTCTACAGATCCCAGCACTGCTCTCCAGCACACTCTGTGAATACCCTTCTGTGTCTGAAACTGGCCAGTGTCGGTGCTGGGGTGCCTTTCTTGCTCAGTTCTGCCTTTCTGGATGAGTTCCTCCTTGGCTTATTGCAGAAGCCCAAGTGTCATGGCCTTGAGTACCACCAGTGAGTGTCTCATTGTGCTGGAACTCATGGGTGAGGAACACTGCATGAGGAGGGACTTGTATACAGATCTGAATCCAAATAGGCAACTCCACCGTGATCTTCTGTATCAGCAAGCTGTTGATCCCCTGTGTGCCCCCCTCTTCTCCTCTGCACAAAACTGGACAGATGCACTGAGTAGTGGCATGTATCCTACCATAGTGGTCTGGGAAGTCTGTGCTTCTTGGCAGGGAAAAACTTTGGAGGAAGGTCTTTGAGGTTTGTTTTCCAGGATGTTAGTTAGTACTGGAGGTTCCCTAAGTCTCACCCCATTGCCCCAGCTGCCACAACCCAAGCTTCAGGTTTGGCTTCTCTCTCTGTTCCTCTGGCTGGGGCAGGGCTGGGGTTGAATGGAAGGGCCCTACTAGGGAGGGAACTAGCTGCATGCTGCAGGCTGAATAGCACTCTGCTGACCCACAGCAACTACTGAGAACATGGAGATGGGTGTCTGGCTGGGCTGTGGAGAGCCTAGCAGTCTGTCTGAGGGAGATGGAGAGGTCGCAATGGATGTGACTTATGTAAAAGCTCACTTTTTTTTTTCACACTCCTCCTGCTCTGTTCTTCTTCATCACTGCTTGCTTGCTTGCTTTTTAAGACAAGACCATTTCCACAGCAACCAGCTGTGACCAAGCATGCAAAGGTAATTCTGTCATGCTCCTCCCATGGTGTTTAACTAGTGTTGCACATAGGATTACCAAGCCTCTATGTTGAGCAATAAAGAGGGTCAGTAGATGAGTTCTCGAAAGCAGAATCTGCTTTTGTCCTAGTGCACTGTGAAGTAGTTTTCATTCTTAGTGATTTGCCAGATACTCACAGTCTCTTGTTCCTGATTTACTAGGGAAAAGCTCTAAATTAAACATTTCCAAGTGATGCTGGACACTAACGTGATTGTTTCTGTCTCTGTGGCATAAGATCAAGTCTCTGGCTCCCATGAAGTTGGCAGCAATTTGAGCTTTGCCCTTGGATAAATTAGGTTTATTCTTGCACTGTTTCTTTCTGAGGTTTACACCCAAGATCATTCTGTCTGTACAGAAACCCACTGCTTTATGAATTCTGTTCTTATCTGCTCAGTTCCTTTTGCATGAGGCACTTAGCATTTGTGCGTTGTTTTTCTTTCCTCAGAGAGGAGGAAGTGGCTCGGTTTCATGAGGTCATCACCAATCCCAGGTACAGAGCCAACCCCCTCATGGCCATCAGCGAGCATCTCTCCAAGAGGCTGAGGCAGGAGGAAGAAGGTAAACCCCTCTAGAGTGTCAGCTGAGACCAAATGTGCGCACTGGAGCTGGTGTGAGGGCTTCAGGCTGCAAAGGAACACATCACTAACGTGACCTCTCAGCTACTTTAGTCCTTGGAAGCAGTTCAGCAGATTATTAAATCCAACAGTCCTGTTTTCTGTCTGCTGGAATAATGCCGTTCTCTCCTGACAGTGGCAGCTGCTCCTTGGCAAGCAGCCTGCAGAGAGCAGGGTGTTCTGCGAGATCTTTGTGCAGACATTAAGCTCCCTGTGAAGTGTCTTGACACCTTTTCTCTTCTTGTGAGCAGGCACAATTTCTTAAATTGTGCCAGTGGCAATGTATCTGTTTTCTGTCGTTTCCCTCCCCTTTCTGACAACTCTGAAAAGAGGTTCCCTGTTGCTATGTTGAGATGGTTCAAGACCCCAAGCCCTGGAGCCCAGAAGGCTGTTGTAGAACTGTGTAAGGACTGATGATGCTGTTCAGAGACATTGTTTTATGTGAGAAATTTAGCTTTGGAATAAACAAACTTTCACACAGTACTTAGTTTGTCTGGTTCTTGTTTTGGTAAATACTAATTGAAATACGAGCTTATTCCCATCACTGGAAAAATGACTTAAAAGAATGGGGGTTTCCCATGTGTACAGTGAACCACTAGACTGCTGCTGCAGCATGCAGCAGAAGCCCTGTGAAATTGCAGATCATGCCTAACTTAGACTTGCCTTCCTCCTACCCTGGAAGTGTGTGCTTTCCGTGGGTGATGCTGATCCGTTTTGACCTGTGTGGTGTTCCCTGCTTGGCCTGCCCCATAGGAAGCATCCCAAAATGTGTCCTGGCTGCAGGCTGTGAACTTCAGCTGGTCATTTACATGTTTGGGTTTGGGAAATGCTGCAGCAGGGGGAGGCCTTTCCTTCTACCAAACACCAATTTTCACAAAACTCCAGTGAATTTTTGTGGGGACAACTAAAGGCAGGGCTGTTCCCTATTTGAGATGATCCCAATCTGACACCCCAAAATGTCAGTGCTATCTTTTGAACTGTACAAAAAGTTTTCTGATGCTTCTTAACCTTGGAAAAGCAGCCTGCCTATGTCAGGTCAACTCTGAGGAGCATCTGAAACTTTTAAGAAAGAAATTCACTCTGATGCCTAGACAGAACATGGAAGCTGCAGCTGACTTACCCAAGGTAGTGCCTAAAACCAGCCGCAATGGGAGTGGCAGGCACCTTGATCATACCCGTCTCTTGCATCACTAGTAATGCTGCTTTTTTTCTCCCTCTAGGCTGGCACTGTTGAACAAAAGCAGTTTTTCTAATGCCTGCCTCAGCCCCGGCAATGTAGATGCTGTTGCTGATGCTGCTTGTTGTTAGAGGAATGTCACCATGCCACCCCTCCTCCCCCAAGGCCTGGCAGGAGAGTCATGCTGGCAGAGGCTGCAGAGAGATGCTGGCTATGTCCCATCCTCCACCCTGTTGCTCTCAGGCTGGCAGAGGACTGGCAGGGCTCTCCTCTCCCCTGAGGGCTCCTGTGTCAGTGCTGGCAGGTGAACACTGCTGTCCTGCTCGTCGGCGTGCTCTAATGCTCTGCAGGACCAAGGCTCTAGAAAGCAGAGGGCTGTGGTGGGGTCAAACAACTTGAAATATCTCCCCACCTCCTGGTTGGTTCCTGCTTGCTCTCTTACCAGTATCTGATTGTGTTTTAGGCCATGTTGGATTTTGAGCTCTGAACGCCAGTCCCAGCTGCAGCCATGCTTCCCCTGCTGATGTTATGCAGGCTGGGCACTGCATTGGAGAGCTGAGCCTTGGTCGGGGCTGTGCACTAACGGCACCTCCTGCCTGCGGCCTGCAGCTGCTCTTGCTGCTTATGGCTCCCAACAGCCCGAGATGTGACTAAGACTTGGACCAAGCTAAGGTTTTTGGGGTGGTTTCTCCATAAGCCTACTGTTTACCCCTTTACTCCACCACGTAGCTAGCTGCCTCCTGAGAAAGGCGCCATCCTTGTGCTTAAGTGGAGGGAAGGCAAGAGCTGGAAGAAGCTGAAGACATCCAAGTACAAAGGAGGATGAAGGTTGCTTCTCTTGTTAGTGAACAGCAGACTCAGGGGGATGGAGTAGTGTATCTGGAGGGCAGGAGGGACAGAAGGCAGCTTGCATGGCATGTTGGAGGACTTCTATTGCTTCTCTTCTGTAGTTTGCAGGAGCTTTGCAGCTTTCTTTTTGTCTTGTGGTTTTTAGATAGTACATGACACGAGGAGAGCCCTGGCCTCCTTGTACGGCTGGGTCATGCAGTAGCCGAGCTGTGCCCTCGTGCTTCCTTTCACAGCAGCAGTGATGCATTGCTCTGCACCATCACAAATAGGTGCGATAGCTGGAGAGAAGCCACAGGCAAGTTTATAAAATGCCATCCTGGGTTGTGCTTTATGGGTGGGATCATATCCCTCCCCTCGGAGATGCATGTGATGCATCATGACTCTGCTTTGCAGAGATCCAGCGGGAGTGGTGATTTCATTTGAGAAGCACCAATTTCCTGGGCACCATCTATTTTGCAGAGAGTGAGACCATCCTTTAAAGCCTCTGGAGAGTTAGTTGGATTGTCCCACGCACCTCTGTTCCAGACCAGTTTCTTCTTAGTAACTTCTCCCTAGGGTGAAAACAAATCTGAAAGGTTATCAATTCCTGTCTTCCCAGACTACTTAGTTTTCTTTTCACAGGCGGTTCCAAGTAACTTCGAGTTGAATCAATGCTTGGATGGCCTGAATTGCAATGTTAGGGAAAATCCCCAGCTGGCAGAAGGGCTAGTTATAGGTAGGTACTAGGGTAGATGTTGCTGGGGGTTATGGGGCAAGAGATCACCTTCTATCTCTAAAAGAGTAAAGCCTGACAGGACTGCGTCCTTTTCTCATCCTGTGCAATTTTTCCTAAGAGGCCCTGCAGTTTGGGGCTGGAGTGGAAAAGGGATTTCTGTGTGCAAAACCAGCTTTGAGCACTTTGGAGGCCCAAAAAGCATCACCAGGGTGAAGGGCTCTGTGGTTTGTGTAGCTCTTCCAGGGTGGCATCAAGACAGGAGCCGTCCTGGTGTCTCAACGCTGGTCTTCCCAGCGCCTTTAGGTTGCCAGCTGTGGTGGTTATGGCCAGAGTTGGTCACTGGAAATTTGGACACCAACAGAACAGTCATCCAGCACTTCTCCCTTGCTCAGCCTGGTTGCTGGGTCCCATCCTTTCCCTTCAAACCGCTGGGAGCCAGTAGAGCTGAACCCTCATTATCCAGGAAGCGAAGGGGTGACTGACCAGGTGGAGGTGTTGAGCTGGGTGCCCCACTCAGTACTGCCTGGTAGCTGTACCCACGCTGGTGGCCCTTCATCTTCATGCACAGCATCACCATGCAGCACATTCACACCTTCTCTTTACCTTGGATGGGCTGACACCATCACTTGGCTGTGTGTCTAGCTCTTAGCCCGCTGTTTGAAAATGTTGGTCTCCTGGGTATTTAGCAGCAGTTAAACATGTGACTGTTTGAAACTACAGTTCACAGCCTGCTGCTGCAGGCATCTCCTGCCCCCGCCATCCTAGCAGTTGAGCAAAGGACTTAAAATCTGCCAGGAAACAGGCGTCTGAGACGCTGAGTCGCCTTCGCAGTTGGCATGTTTTCCAGATGATAAAAGCTTTCATGCCAATTTTTTTTTTTAGATAGCAGGGTGGGAAAAAATAGCTTCCAAGCTGTAAGGAGTAGTTGTGCCGGAGGGGAGGGAGGGGGCCTGACCTGGCAGCTCTAGACTTAGCAAGAAGTAAGTAAGCAGCAAATGCACTGCAAACTCGGGACTGGAAAAATCTGGGGCTACTTTTTGCAGCTGTTTTCTTTCTTGTTGGTGATTTTTCCCTTGAAGGCTGTTCATGGAACCATGCCTGAAAGCAGAAGCCTGGGTATCCTGTCCATCTGGTGGTACCAGCAGATATTTTCTGCTGCACACAAAGCACCCAAAGTGGTGGGTTGAAGGGGATTCTCCTTTGCCAGCAGCTCATGGGTAGTGTCTTTGGTTTGCAGGTTGCAAAGGGATATTTTTTTTATAGCAGCTCTTGCAACTCCCATGTTTCTCCCCGGTACCAGCAATGGCCCATCGTGCTTTGTCTCTGCTGGAGCAGGGGTTGCTTCAGTCCAGCGGCATGTCTCAGAAAAGCATGGTGAGTCACACGGACCTGTCCCCGACCCTTTGTCTAACCCAAGAAAGTCCCTAATGCAAGTATGTAGACTCCCTCCTCCTTCCTTCCACTTTCTGGTTTGTCTGCCCTGGGAGGTTTTCCTCACAGACCGTGTGCAAGCAAGTCCCCCCATCCCCTTCGCGTATGAAAAATATGACTTACGCCGGGTAGAGAGGACTTATGCTTACGCTCTGGTTGAAGCTATGAGCCACATTGGCCCCATGGCTTCCTTTTTTTCCTAGAGCTAAGCATGTATGATGGCTTTTGCCAGCATAACCCCTGCCAGCTCCAGCACTGAGGCACATGCCTGTGCTGCAGGTGCTGGCCGGGTGGAGCTGTCTGCCTCTGTGGCTGCCAGGGAAAGCTTGTGGTGGATGGGGGCAGGCAGGTGAGCCCAGCGGAGCTCCCGGGTTTGCAGGAGTTTTGCACCCAGGGAGTTTTGCACCTGGGAGTTTTGCTCCTAGGTTTTGCACCAGGCTGGGTGCCTCTTGCTGTGCCAGCAAGTTGTCTGGTGGCCCATGACTGGGAACCCATCCCTGGAAGTGCATCCCCTCCTGCTCCCTGGGTGGACTCCAACCTTCCTGGTAAATACAATCTGTAATGAACTGCAAAAACTGGCTAATCCATGCTGCTTTAGTTGAACTGGCTTTGACAGTAAATGCTCTGGGATGGTGCATTGGACTGGCATAGAGAAATCAGGGGCAGTATCATCATTGCAGGGTATAGGCAGGACAGTGTTTGTAGGTACTGGTAGTACCTTTTCTTGGATGACAGTAGCATTGTCTTTGGTGCTGCCTCCTTCATACCAACACCGATTTGTGGAGGAGAGGAATGGGAGCATGAGAGATTAATTTGCTTTCTCCTGAGTCTTGCTGAGCCACTGAAGAGATCCCAGGACTCTGGCTATGTCAGTAGTCTGCACTTGGATCCCTAAAACTGACTGTCACCCTGCCTTTCATCCGTGCAGTGTAATCACCTGTCATGGAAGTGAAGCCCTCGCTTGGTGTGGCTGAGGAGAAACAGCTGGATGTCTAACAGGCATGCAGTTTTCCAGCCATGCAGAGCTACCTTTATCCTGTGGGTTCCTGAGCTTGATCCCAAGTTCTGACACGTGTCATGGCTGTGCCAGACACAGGAACTTGCAGTGAGACCTTGGTCTGCACCACAGGAGGCACCCACTGGCTGAGCTGTCCATGAGTAAGCCCAGCCATCCTTCCTTCATGTGATCTGCCAGAGGCTCTTGGACAGCTTGTGCCAACTACTGGCTGGGAGTAGTGGGGCTGGGGGGCTGCCATGGGCTCCTTGAGATGACTCCCAGGTTCTCCTCTCCACCAGCTGGCAGCAGTCCCTGGGTCATGCCCTGGACTGGTGCAAATCCAGCCCTCAGCTACGCTCCTCACCGAGTACTTGGTGTGTCAGTGGCAGCTGGTGAGGAGCAACCACTGGGAATGTCAGGAGCATTAGGTCTCTGCTATAGGATGGTTGTTCATCTCTGCTCCCTGGCCAGGGCATGCCCAGGGCTGGCTCCCTTCCCATGTGTGTCTTCGTAGAATCATAGAATCATTAAGGTTGGAAAAGACCTCTAAGATCATCGAGTCCAACCGTCAACCCAACACCACCATGCCCACTAAACCATATCCCTAAGCGCCTCGTCTACCCGTCTTTTAAAAACCTCCAGGGATGGTGACTCAACCACTTCCCTGGGCAGCCTGTTCCAATGTTTAACCACTCTTTCAGTAAAGACATTTTTCCTCATGTCCAATCTAAACCTCCCCTGGCGCAACTTGAGGCCATTTCCTCTCGTCCTTTCGCCAGTTACTTGGGAGAAGAGACCGACACCCACCTCGCTACAACCTCCTTTCAGGTAGTTGGAGAGACCAATGAGGTCTCCCCTCAGCCCCCTTTTCTCCAGGCTAAACA